TCACTCACACTCTCACTCTCTCACACACACACACACACACTCTCACTCTCACTCACTCTCACTCTCACTCTCACTCACACACACTCTCACACACTCACACACACACACACACACACACCTTCATCTTTCATCCTCTCATCCTCCAGGAACTGCATCGGGCAGAACTTCGCTATGGCAGAATTGAAGGTGGTCGTGGCTCGGACTCTGTCGAGGTTCCGGATCCTGCCGGGCCCCAAACCAGTGCGGCGTCTCTACCAGCTGGTGCTGAGAGCAGAGGGAGGCCTGCTGTTAAACATCGAGACGCTCGAGGAATCCCACAAAGAGTGACCAGCACGGAAACATCTCACCGTTTAATGCTTCCTGCGATTTCTATTTCAGTCATTTAATATCATTTCCAAACTTTGAATGTGAAGTGTGTAATGCCTCACTGGGGAGTTGTTGCAAACCAAATTAACTGTTTTGTAAGTTTTCAAAGCGTTATACTGCTGTAACTGCATATACTTCTCATGCTTTGATACAACAGAAAATTGATTTTGCTTATATATTAATATATTTGTCATATATTCTGATAAATATTGTAGTCTATTTACGTACCAACTCTTGTTTGTGTTGTTTTTTCTTGAACAAAATTCAAATAAATATTTGGCACAGCATTGTTTCAAAGTGTAAATGAGCAGCATTATGTACTAAAATATAAACGTGCATGGATATTATTGGTGTGTGGATACTATGGAAGCCCGATTCCGCCACCGAATAAAAAATAAAAAGGTAATTGCAACTTTTTTATCTCACAATTCTGACGTTTTTCTCAGAACTGTGTGATATAAACTTGCAGATTCTGAGAACTGAACCAACAATGTGATGTCTGCACACAGAGAAATGCAAAGCTGTGAAATCTTGCTTGGTGTGTGTGGTGTCCTTCTGCGAGCTCCACCTGAAGCCTTCAGCATATGAGGGCCATAAATTAGTCACGGCATCCTGTAAGATCAAGGAGATGATTTGTTCTACTCATGAGAAGCCGTTGGAGGTTTACTGCAAGACAGAGAAGCAGTTTGTGTGTTTACTTTGAGTTCTGAAGGAAACAGGTGAATGCAGTCTCTGTTTATGGCATATTCTACATGAATAGCGCTTTATACAATACAGATTGTTTCAAAGCAGCTTCAGAGTCAGGTACAAGGGAGCTAAAGGCACCCCGGGGCTAAAGGCGCCTTTGATATTATTTTCATCTAAACCACTAGACGGCACAAAAACGTGGCGAAGCACTTTCCAAAACATCCGCTTTTCAAGATGCACGTGTATATTTGTCTGATCCTTGACGCGATCGCACGCAGCAGCGCAAAGTTGATTCGGTGTTTACTTGATCTAATATTTTATGTTTTTTTAAATGTTGCAGATTTAAGTAGCAAATGAGAATCGCTAAAAATTAATGCATATATTTTGAGACAAAGGTCTTCTTTATGATTTTAAGTTTTGTTTAAGATAATTAAAGCAACAGTTTTTAAATAACGAAAGAATATGTAAAAGTATGGTATTTGGGGTAAAAAGCGCCCCTGCTGTTGGGGCTAAAGGCACAGTAATTAACATGATAATTAATAGATGGCTGACTTTTCCATTTGTTGACATGACATGGTTAGACTCAGATGGTAATGGACCAGTTAACAAAACGCTCTCGATCTGTTGTCCTGTATTAGGTCTCTTTGTCAAATCCTCCAATGTGTGAAAATTCACCCAGAGTTAAAGGGATAGTTCACCCAAAAATGTACTGTCTATATACATGCATCGGTGCGTTCGACTGAGAAGTGCTTCCTAAGCACTGTTCCCTTAAAAGAGAGCTTCCGAAGGGTGCAGGACTGTCCAGTTCTGCTGTTGCTTAGTAACCAGTGTAAACACACACAGGCAGTCATGGCTTCACGGGATCTGGACGCAGAGTTTGTCCGATCGGAGTCTCTGTTCCAGCGGCTGATGGAGAAGCACAGGACTGGCAGAAAGGTTTGTCACGCTCTTACATTCACTGAAGGAGGAGCGGCTCAGAGTCCTCATCAAAGGTTGCTCTGGGTTACACCGCATTCAGAGCAGCGGTACACACTAACACACACTAACACACACTAACACACACTTCAGCTCTGTGTCTTCAAATCCAGTCCCACGGCTGATTTTGATCAAAACTCACCGATTTAGCAAGAACTTTATGTATTGGAAACTTTTTTTCTTTGCTACTATTTAAATGTATTTAAATATAGATTTTATTATTTCACCCTTATGTCAGATCAGTGTTGCTACTGTTAAAAAAAAAAAAAAAAAACTTGCATCTTTTAGCATTTTTGGTAATTGAAATACAGCTGAAATAAAACAAAATATAAATTAGATTTTAAAAAATTTACTTAAAAAAAAAAAAAAATTGAATTAAAGTGCTAAAATTACTAAAACTAAAATAAAACAAAATTAAATCTACATAGAAAAAAAAAGAAATAAAACAAAAGATAAATATCAGACAAAAAACTTACACTTAAAAATAAAAACAATAAAAAATGCTGCCTTGGCAATATATATATATATATATATATATATATATATACGTAAAACTACTAAAACTAAAATTTAATTAAAACTATATAGAAAAAAGCTGAAGTAAAACAAAATATATATATTGTATATATTTGATGGAAAACTTACACAAATGTAAACAATAATTAGAAAACTAAATGAAATTAAGTTAAAATACTAAATGACTAAAACCAAAATAAAAATCAATTAAAGCTATATAGAAATATACACACACACACACACACACACAAAAGCACGTAACAAAATTACTAAAACAAACTTAAAATATAAAAATAAAAGCTACATTTTTTATAAATTCTATAATGGTATAAATAAAACTAAAGCAGCACTTTTCCCGACTTTCAATCTTAAAATTATTAAACTGAATCTTAAAACAATTATTACTCACAATTTTCTAAGCAAAGAGTGAAATAAAAGAAAAATATCAGAATATTTTAATGGTGCATCATTTCCAATCAAGCTGTAATTTAGTAAAATTATGCATAAAGCATGAAAATAATACTTTCATAAATGCTAGCTATCAAATGAGTCTTAGTAAGACAAAGGAGTTGGCTATTTTATAAAAAAAAATTCAAAAGTCATTTCCATCACAGAATGAATAGTGTTTTTTAAGTGACATTTTCATGATGTTCATGGGGGAAAAATAATTCATGTAATCTGCAGCGCTTTAAAGGCACAACATGTAATTTTCGCCACTAGAGGGTGCGTATTCAAAACGCAAAATATATAACACTGTTCTAGTGGTTTTTGGATATTTTAATAAAAAAATCTTACATATTGTGCCTTTAATTGGCCCGGGGCAGGAGCTCTGGTCTCCTGGAGATGAACATGGAGCAGGTAAACAGTGAGGGAAGGTTAGTTACAGCAGACAGACGGAAGAGCAGCATGCAGAGAGACACGCAGAGCTCCAGTAAAGCAGGAGACGGTGAGAGCGGCACCAGTCTGTTCCACCGGCGCATGACGCTCCGCAGAGACATGGTCAGTGCAGACAATCACATTCATGCTTGCATACATTTCTGTTCAAAATGTCAATTGTAAAAAAGTAATTCAGGGCAATTATTCAAAACTGAGCTTCACGAGGAAACTGCAGGGAGTTTTTTTTTTTAGAATTGTTACATTTGTGTTCATTTTAATTATATATATATATATATATATATATATTGTTACATTTACATAATGTTTAGTGTCATGCAAGTTGAAGTTAGATAAAATTACTAAAGCTGAAATAGAAATAAATTAAAGTGTGGAAGCTTGTTTCCACATCTGGATAAAAAAATAAAAAAAGGTAATTGTGACTATTTATCTAGCACTTCTGATGTTTTCTCAGAATTGCAAGATATCAACTCAGAATTGTAAGAAAAAAGTCACAATTACCTTTTTTTAGCTTCCATCATAATTACTAAAACTACTACTAATAATAATTCCATAATAAGTACTAAAACTGAAATAAAAAGAAATAACAGCAATTAATAACAATTAACAATTAATATTTCAGTAATTTATCAACGCATTCAAACGTTCATGGTTCAGGTAAACAAATAAAATTTTAAATTAAAAAAATTAAATTAAATTAAAAATAAATTAAATAAATTTTTTATAAATTTTTTAGTTATTGCAATAAAAATAGAACACTCACTAAAAAAAAAACTTTTTTTATTTTTAATTTAATTTTTTTAATTTTTAATTTTATTTGTTTACCTGAACCGTGAACATTTGAATGTGTTGATAAATTGATAAATTACTGAAATATTAAATTAAAATCTCAGGTGAACTGAAATTGTAGCTCAAAATCCATAATATGATTTAAAAAATTATTCTAGTTGTAAAAGATATATTATAACCCTTTTAAGCTTTTTTTCTAGTTTTTTCTAAGTGTTAATAAAATATTGGGAATTTTTTTCATAAGAGCTAAAAAAATAAAGTAAATGTACAACTTGTGTTGTTTATTTCAATGAGCTGTTGCTGTAGATTCATAAACTCAAATGCACAGACGCTCTCTGTATCCAGTCAACAATACAAACAAACGCTGAGTGTTTCTCATATTCGTCAGTCACTCAGCAGGTTTGTCTTTTGTCACTTCCTGTCTCTCCTGCAGAAGTTCCTGTTACACAGGCTGACTGTGATTGGCCGTCTGTCCGGCGGAGCGGCTGACAGGAGGACTGTGGGAGGTCCGTCTGAGCGTCTCAGATTTCTGATTAAAGTGTTTAGAGAGTCATTACAATCCAAACCCAGATGGTTCAGTTTTAAAATAAACTCTCTGAGACGTTTCTCTGGTGTGTGTTGTGTGTCAGATCACTACGAGAGGCTGATTCTCAGTCTGCAGAGGAGCCTTGTGGGTGAAGACGTCACCGGTCTCCTGCTGCTCTACCCTCAGCACACGCTACACGTCATCGAGGTGCTTCATCTGCTTCATCTGCACAGTCCACAGTGTGTTCATCAATTACTCAGCCTCATGCTGCTTCATGACATTCTGCCAGTGGAACAGAAACGGAGAACATCATGCAAGTTCATGCAACTAAAACTGAAATAAAAATAAAGCATGGAAGCTTGTTTCTGCCACAGGATAAAAAAAAAAGAAGGTAATTGCAACTTTTTATCTTACAATTCAGACTTTTTCTCAGAATTGCATGATATAAAATCGCAGTTCTGTGAAGAAAAGTCAGAATTGTGAGCTAAAAACGAATGGCAATTAAAAAAAAAAAAAACATTGCAATTTTATTTTTTTTCCTGGTGAAAAAAAAAACAGAACTGAAAGACGTAAATGCGGAATTCTGAGAAAAAAGTCAGAATTGCGAGATAAAAAGTTGCAATCAGTTTTTTACATTTATTTTTCTGTTGGGGAAACAAACTTCCATAATTTCTAAAACTGAAATAAAAATACATTAAAGCTATATAGAAATATTACAGGGAACATGTAACAATTGAGTTAATAATTACAAAAATTACAAATTTTAAAAATTATTTCTTATTAAAATTTTTTACATTTTTTTTTATTTTTATAAAAATGACATAAGCATTTTAGAAAAATTACTAAAACTTAAATTGAAACTGAAAATATAAAAAAATAAAAGCAAATTCAATATATAAATAAATACCATAATATATCAATAATACTAAAATAACACTGTTCCAAACTAAAATATGAAAATTCATCTTAAAAAAATATTACTACAC